GCGCGGCGCGCAGAGGCGGGGGTTGGGGGGGGGAGCGGGAGGGCGACACGAGTGGGGAGGGGCGGAGAGGGGAGAGGAGGGAAGGAGAAGGGCGCGGGCTGGTGGCGGGGTGTTGTGGGGGGGGGAAGCGGGGGAAGCCGCGGAGTCGCCCATCAAGGTAGCGCGCGCGCCCCCCGCGCAAGAGATGGACGCTTTCTTTCCCCGCAGGTCGGGCGAAAGGGCGCGATTCGAGGACGCTTTCCGCCGGCCAGTCAAACCGCCTGTTTTCACCCCTCTTAGCTAGCCCGGTCCGGACCTGTCCGCAGAGCTCTCCTTCCTTCCCCTCCTCCTCCGCCTCCCTCCCCCGCCTCAGGCAATCCACCGGGCGGAGGGTGGGGGGAAAGGCAGCAGGTGCGATACGACGGAAAGGTGCGATGGAAAGGAAGCGGCCCTGGTAGTAAAAGAGCGCGAGCTCCCAGGTGGTCAATCCGGGATCGAGGTGAAGTCAAGTTAACTCCGAGGGCATCTCTCGGGCGTTTTCTTTTTCTTTCTTTCTTTCTTTCTTTCTTTCTTTCTTTCTTTCTTTCTTTCTTTCTTTCTTTCTTTCTTTCTTTCTTTCTTTCTTTCTTTCTTTTGGCTGAGGCTTTTTCGTTCAAGACAGACCGAGAATGAAATGATACGAGCAGAAATCCCATTTCACTGATACGGTTTCCTTGTTGCTTTTCTGGGAGGAGGAGGCTCCACCGTATCCGAAGCAGAACAGACAGACAGACACATCTATATGCATGGTGCAGGTATATATTTATGTATGTATATAGTCTGTCTGTTACGTATGTGTTGATACACTTTGTCTTGAGAACAGGCAAAAGAATGTCATTTTTAATGTGGGCCAGTGTGCTCACAGTAAAAAAAAAAAAAAGGACAATAAAACTTCTCTTCTCTTCTCTTCTCTTCTCTTCTCTTCTCTTCTCTTCTCTTCTCTTCTCTCCTCTTCTCTTCTCTTCTCTTCCCTTCCCTTCCCTTCCCTTCCCTTCCTTTCCCTTCCCATCCCAGACCCTATCCTGTCCTACTAGAAGAATGGTGGAAGGAAATCCAACCGCTAATTGTAGCCTGCTTACATATTGGGTTTATATTGTATAGGCGGACTGGCGATAGGTTTTTGAAGACTACTATCTAAAGCGAAATACAGAATACTATAGCTAGTCCTCTGTTCGTTTTGTGACTGATTTAAAGTTACAGCAGCACTGGGAAAAAAAGTGACTTACAACTGTTTTCTATACTTACGACTGCTGCAATATCTCCATGATCACATGATTAAAACTCGGATGCTTGGCAACTGGCTTATATTTATGATGGTTTGCAGTCTGCCAGGGCCATGTGATCCACTTTTGTGACTTTCTGACAAGCAAACCCAATGGGGAAGCCGGAGTCACTTAACAACTGGGTTACTAACTTAACAACTGCGGTGGTTCTGCCATGCCCCTGGTGGAGACTGACTCTGAGGGAGAGGAGGAACAGCCAACAGGGAGTGGAAGTGTGGCTCCAGAGGTTGTGGAGGACATTAGGGAAGGGCAGAGGCTGCCTGAGCAGTCAGAGGAGGACCCAGACCCATCCCCTCTCCATCCTAGGGCACGCAGGGAGGAGAGGATAAGGAAGGGACATGGTCTACTCAGGATGAGAGGGCTTTGATCCTCTTCATGGGCTGCAGCTGTGACAACTGAATAAGAAGACGGACTTGCATACGGGTGAACGCTGGAAACAAAGCGTGGAAATATCTCTAGTTTATGGTTCCTCTGTGAATTTGGCATCCTTCCTAGTATGTGTTATCTGTGGACGTCCTCCAGCCCTTATCTTGCCTGGTTTGTGTTGATTTTTTCCTTCTTCTTGTAACTGTTTGTATGGGAGTTTTTTGTCTTCTGTCAAGATTATTCAGAGCTTGGATTAAAGTGAAGGAATAAAAGGGGCTTCACCTGTTTTCTGTGACGGTGTTTGTTTTGTATCCTACCCTGGGTCATCACAGGTTCACTTAACAGCAACTGTGGCAAGAAAGGTCATAAAATGAGGCAAAATTCACTTAACACATGTCTCACTTAGCAACAGAAATTTTGAGCTCAGTTGTGCTCATAAATTGAGGACTACCTGTAATTGGCTCTAACAGTGGTCTACCTTAAGCTAAATCTTAAAGAGAAAAACAGAAGAGAGACAGAAAGCTCCTTTTACTGATATTAGGCTTGGAGATAAACCAATTCAAGAAGATATGAACTCCTTTTCCTAACTCTGTTGTCATTTTCTTCAGTGGGTCAAAACATGGCTCAGTTTGGCTTAGCGCAAGGGTCTTCAAACTTTGCAAGTTTAAGACTTGTGGACTTCAACTCCCAGAATTCCTGAGCTAACATGACTGGAGGAGGAATTCTGGGAGTTGAAGTCCACAAGTCTTAAAGCCGTTAAGTTTGAAGACCCTGGCCTAGTGGTTAAGAAACCAAGAGACTATGAGTTCTAGACCTGCCACGAAAGCCAACAGGGTGACTTTGGGCCAATCATGGTCTCAGCCCAAACCACCTAACGGGGTTGTTGTGGGGAAAATAGGAGGAGGAAGGAGTATTAGGTATTAGTTATTTTTAAAACAATGAACATGGGACAAAACCAAATAAAAATAAACAATATGAAGCAATGATACAATCTCCAATATTTATGATGCTGAATTATAAATGGAATCCCCAGATTATAATCCTCCTGTGCAATAGATGCTCCTCTTGGATATAAATCATAGCCTGTCCTTGGTTTATTGTAAAAACACAATGGGCAGGGTCACACAGGACCCAAAGTCATAAATCTAAGACAAAAGCAAATTAACCACTTTGCATTTTGTATGTATAGAAACCAAGCCAGTCCTTCTTTGACAAATCATGATTCCTTAAAAAAAAAAAACACTGGCTTAATCATAGGTGAACCAAGCACATTCTCCAATTACTTTATTCCCTCCTATGCAAACAGTCCACTGTCCTTTCCCACTAGTTTGTATCTCTTCTGAATTTCACAAAAGGGCTGTGCTTGTTCAAAGGGGGGAAAAAAGTTAGAAATGTGGCCTCAGAGGTGTTTGCATCAAGCATCTAAATGGAGTGACGCCCGTGCAAAGAAATGGAGGCACAAGCTAGTTTTAGCCTGTGGCCATCTTTGCATTCACCTGTGAACCACAGATCCAGTTTGTCTGAAATACAATTCTAGACCAGCATGCCTATTTTTCCCAACAGAGATGTCAGTTTGGAGCAAGGCCTTCTATAATCTTTTAACCCTTCCATTGAGGACCTGTATACTGCACAAGTCAAAAAGAGGACTGTGAAAATATCTGCAGACCCCTCACATCCTGGACATAAACTGTTTCAACTCCTTCCCTCAAAATGATGCTATAGAGCACTGCACACCAGAACAACTAGACACAAGAACGGGTTTTTTTTTCTGAACGCCATCACTCTGCTAAACAAATAATTCCCTCAATACTGTCAAACTATTTACTAAGTCTGCATTACTATTACTATTACTATTAATCCTCCCATCCTTCCTTTCATCCATCCCCACCCACTTATGACTGTATGACTGTAACTTTGTTGCTTGTATTCTAACTATTTTTATTGACTGTATGACTGTAACTTTGTTGCTTGTATCCTAATGATTTATATTGACTATTTCCTTGTATGATTTGATTGCTTATTGTACCCTATGACTATCATTAAGTGTTGTACCTTATGATTCTTGACTCTTGACGATTGTATCTTTTCTTTTATGTACACTGAGAGCATATGCACCAAGACTAATTCCTTGTGTGTCCAATTACACTTGGCCAATAAAGAATTCTATTCTAGTCTATTCTACTCTGTTCTGTTCTGTTCTATTCTATTCTATTAAGGTTCCTCCTCCTTGCTAAAAAATGTC